GAGTAACACACTCCGACGCGCCGACGCCCCGCAGCCACCGCGCTGCCGATGCTGCAGCACTTCATGCAGCGCCCCGGCCAGGACGCCCTCCCCGCGCGCTGCAAGGCCGTAGAGTGCATAGGCATGCTCGCAGACGCCCTCGGCCCCTCGGACCCCGTCGTCGGCCCTGCGCTGCCCGGCATCGTCGAGGCGGTGCTCGCTAACTTTGGATCCGTCGACAGCCCCGAGCTGCGGGAATACAGCCACCTCGCGCTGGCCAACCTGTCGGCGGCGCTGAAGGAGGGGTTCGGCCCCTACGTGCCCCGGGCGGTCGCGCTCGCGATCGCCACCTGCGAGCAGTCGGACGGCGATTTGGTGCGGGGCGACGGCGACGGCGGCGACGCGGCGTCCGAGGATATCGGGTCCGAGGACAGCGACGACACGGGCGGCGGCGGCAGCAGCGGGAGCGGCAGCGACGACGACGATGCGGGCGGGCGCGGGTTCCGCGTGCGGACGGGCGTGGTCGAGGAGAAGGCCGCCGCGACGCACGCGGTCGGCGCGTACGCCGACGCGGCGGCGGCCGCGGTCGCGCCGCACGCGGACGCGCTGGCGGCGCTCTTGAAGGCGGGCTCGCAGCACCTCCACGAGGAGGTGCGCGCGGCGGCCCACGAGGCGCTGCCAAAGCTGGTGCTGGCCGTGCACCGCGCGGCCTCCCCGGGCGCGGCCCCCGCCGGCGCCGGCGCGCCCGCGCCGCAGCAGGTCTCGGCGCAGGCGCGGCAGATGGCCGGTGGCGCGGTGGCGCTGCTGCTGGAGTCTCTGGATACAGACCCGGACAAGCCCGCCGTGTCCGCCGCGGTCGCGGCCATCGTGGTGCTGCTTGAGGCACTCGGCGGCGCCGCGTTCGAGCAGCAGCAGCTGGAGGCCGTCGCGCGCGCCGCGGCGTCGGTGCTGCAGGGCGAGGCCGCGTGCCAGCAGGAGGAGGAGGACGACGAGGACGAGCCCGGCGGCGGCGGCGGCGGCGGCGGCGGCGGGTCTGGCTTTGATGAGGATGATGCAGGGGAGGAGGACGAGGAGCTGATCTCCGCGGCCGCGGACCTGCTGCCCGCGCTCGCCGCGGCCGTCGGCCCGCAGGCCTACGCGCCCGTGTTCCTGTCGCTGCACCTGGCGCCGCTGCTCGCGCGGCTGCGGCCGCGGGAGGCCGCAGGGGTCAGGGGCATCGCGGCGGGCGCGCTGGCGGAGGTGTGCGAGAAGCTGGGGGCGCTCGCAGCGCCGGCGGCGGAGCAGGCGCTGCCGCCGCTGATACGGGAGCTGCGGAGCGAGGTGAGGGCACACGTACACGTGTGCGCGATTGGGGGCGTGTGCGTGTGTTTTGTTTGTTTGTTTGCTTGTTTGTTTGTTTGTTTGTTTGTTTGTTTGTTTGTTTGTTTGTTTGTTTGTTTGTTTGTTTGTTTGTTTTTGTGTGTGTGTGTGTGTGTGTATGTGTGTGCATTTTTCCGGGCGAACATGTGGAGATGTGTGTGCTCAGGTGTATACGCGCGCAGCCGTTGTTGCCAATGGTGGGAAAGCGGCGCCTGGTGGGGGCCGATATGTTTGTTCTAGAATTCTGCGCAGCAGAGCCTTTCCTGTTCAACAGCGGCGCCGCAGCCGAGCAGCTGGCGGGTCACCGTGCTGCCACACAGCTGGGCCCCTGCACAAGCGCCGCTTCTACAAGGGAGTCGCCCAAGCCGGCACCTCCACGCAACCCCCCACTTCCCCGCAGGACCCCATCAACCGCCAGAACGCCGCCTTTGCTTGCGGCATGATCGCGCACACCTGCCCGCAGCAGGCGTCGCCCCTGATGCCGCAGCTGCTGCAGGCGCTGCACCCGCTGTTCCGGCCGGAGGAGGAGCCGGGGGCGCGCGACAACGCGGCGGGCGCGGTCGGGCGCACGCTGCTGGCGATGGGCGCCGCGCTGCCCGTGGAGCAGATAGTGCCGGTGCTGGTCTCTGCGCTGCCGCTGCAGGTGCGGGCCGCCCGGGCCGCCCGGGGCGCCACTTGGCGGGATGAAGGGGGGAGGGGGAGGGAGACCAGTGCCGGCGCGCCGTGAGCAGCACTTTCGCACCTCGTGGTGGTGTGCGCTGCGCAGGGCCCCAGCGTTCCTGCCCACCTCTCGCACGCAAGTTGCCGACCGCTGGCGTGTGCAGGCTTCTTTCGGTGCACCTCCAGCCTCCCTGCTCCGCTGCCAACAGCCCCCTCTGTTGCACCCCTTGCGCATGGCGCTCGCCAAACATCTCAACGCGACCTCGCCACAGGAGGATCTAGAAGAGACGGCCCCAGTGTGCGCGGCGCTCTGCCAGCTGCTCACCGGCGACGCGGCGCTGCAGCAGCGGGTGTCCCCCCACCTGCCCGCCATCGTCCAGGCCTTCGGCCGCGTGGGCGTGCAGGACGCGGCGCCGATGGCGGCGCGGCGGCAGGTGGCGCAAGTGCTGCTGCAGCTGCAAGGCCAGTTTGCCGCTGTGGTGGGGCCACTGGTTGCTGCCCTGCCGGCGGACCAGCAGACAACGCTGCAGCAGCTCGCCAGCGGGTAACTTGCTGCCCCTTTGTGCATTACAGCATGAATGCAAACATCGTCTACCCTTGCTCCTGGATTGCAGCCGCGTGCTGACCTGGCCACTATTTAGAATGTGGCGCCTACTGCAAGCCTGTGGCACAGCGAAAAGCCGCGGTCTCGTTGGTCTTACATGGCATTGATGCCTGGCCTATGGATGCGCTCCCGCAGCAGCTCTGGCGGCATCGATCGCCGCGCTGTGCTGCTGCTGCTATAAGTATGTGCGTGTGAACGTGTGCACGCCGTGCAGACAAAAGTGGCTGGTGTGGGTGAAAACGCACGGCCACAAGAAGAAACAGGCTCTCTTCGAGCCTGCCGCCCTGTCCCATTCTTGTCATGGCCCCAGCCACGCTTGTGTCACCCAGCCTCCTGCCCATCAACCAGTCCAAGGGCGCAACTGACTCATGAGTCGGCGCGCCCACCGCCGCGCGCCGCTGCAGCCCAAGGGCGAACGGGCGCTGTCAGTCTGCCAGAGAGTCAACCCCTCGGGTGGAGGCGCCCCTCTGCGCCTCCAAACGTCGGGGCACGCCAAGCACCAGGGCAGAGCACGCGCCTCGCCCCGTGCGGTCCAGGGCGCCGCGCGGCGCAACCAGCTTCCACCACTGCCATCCGCCTCGCCGCTGCCGCTGCTGCTGCTGTGTGGGGCGAGGCCGCCGCGCGCAACTGAGCCTCCTCCGCCGGCGGCCGGCCCCCGTTGCTGCCGCCGCTCAGCCCTTGCTGGCGATGTTGTTGCTGAGCCAGTCCAGGCCCTCGTACAGCCCCTCGCCAGACGTCGCGCACGTGCTCTGGATGTACCTGTGCGCACAGCACCGACGGTGGCACGCAGAGGCCACCGGCGCAGTCCAGTGGTGAGCCGAAGTACAGGCGTACGCGACATGCACTCAGTCTGGGCTGTTCGGGCCATGGCCGCCTTGCGGCAAACAATCAACCTCCTGCGGAGGTGTCGCATAAACACAAACATACTGCATGCGCGCCGGGGCGGATGCGCGTGCCTTAGCCACAGGCGCCGACGATGCAAAAGCGCAAGAGGACAGCACGGGACAAGCGCCCCGCATGTTCTGAGCTCGGTGTGGACCGCCACTGCTTGGCTCCGGAGCAGCACGCACCAGTGACGCTGGCGCAGCGAGTGCAGACCCAGCTTGTCAGTGATCTCCGCCGCGTTCATGGCATTTGGCAGGTCCTGCTTGTTGGCGAACACCAGCAGGACTGCGTCGCGCAGCTCGTCCTGTGCGACCACGGCGACAGGGCGGCGCATGATGCATTTATTCGCCGACACTCCCCTTGAGCGAGCGTGGTGACGAAGCACGAAACAAAGCTGCCACTGCTTGCTTGCAAAAAGCGACGTCGTTCAGCCCTCGCGCCGTACCACCGGACCGCACGACGCCCGCCGAGCCAGCCCGATGCGCTCCGCAGTGGCCAGCACAAACGCTGCCCATATGCATACATGTGCAAGCCTCGGAGAATTCGCAACGCGTGGTGGCATGCTCACCTCGTTGAGCATCCGCTGCAGCTCGTCCCTGGCCTCGCCAATGCGGTCCCGATCGTTGCTGTCCACCACAAAGATCAGCCCCTGAGTGTTCTGGAAGTAATGCCTCCAAAGCGGGCGGATCTGCGGGCGGTGCGGCAGCAGGTTGAGGTTCGTTCCAGCAGCAAGCAGCAGCAAACAGCAGTGTCAGTTCCGAGGCTCCCCACCTTGTCCTGGCCTCCCACGTCCCAGACGGTAAAGCTGATGTTCTTGTACTCAACAGTCTCCACGTTGAAGCCTGCGAGGGAGGAGCGCGATCGGTGTCAGAGCCTGTGCGTGCAGCAGCGGGAGCCCGCCTGCCCTCGCGACTCACCGATGGTGGGGATGGTAGTCACAATCTCTCCAAGCTTCAGCTTGTAGAGGATGGTCGTCTTACCTGCGGCGTCCAGTCCCACCTGCACACAAAGAGTGCACAGAGCAGCACTTGAGCTCAGAGGCCCACCTCTCCGCCATGGCGCCCATCAGCAGGCCTGATAGCTTACCATAAGGATGCGCATCTCCTTCTTAGCGATCAGACGCGACAGCAGCTTGCTGATGGTGAGCCCCATGTTTGCGAGTTCTAGTAGAAGGGCCGCAACAGAGAGCTAAATGCAGGCGTTGCGGGTCCCAACAGTGATTGAACCGATGCGTGCATGAGCACAAGTGCGAACGGCGCGCCACGAGAGCCGGAAGCTGGCACGAAGCCATGGTGTCCTGTCTCGACCGTCAGCTACCGTAGTCGTGGATGCTTGCAGTCATCCTCATAGCTCATAGTCTCAGGCGAAGGCGTCGTGGCGGACGTACACCTGGTTGGCTGTGGTCGCCAGATCAGAGCAACAATGATGAAGCTCGGTGCTGGGGTTCCGCATATCGGTGCATCTGCAAGCATATTGCACCCATTCTATCGATCATTGTTGTGCGCGAGATTACCACGCACGAGGTTCTGCAGTCCTGTCAATGCAGGGGCCTACTCGACCAGCTGGCTGGGCGTTGACCAGGATCATGGACTCCAGCCGCAGCACATCAACCGCCAGCGGCCTCAGCCGTCCAGGGAACTAGTTCGTTTGAGATGCGAATCTCGAATGTTTTTGTTGTCGCAGGGTGTAGGCCAACCCCACTCAATCTAGCAAGGGCTGACCATGTAAGCTGCACGACTGAGGAGTGCTGCTGCCCCCCTGAAGTGCATGCGAACCTGGTGCTTGTGCTGCCAACGTTTCGCACACCTGATTTTCTTGGCTGCCCTAATGAAGACGGGTTACTGTGCGCCCTGTTTGTATGGGGTTGGGGGCCCAACAACTGAGCATCCAGTGTCACCCACACGTGTCAACATTAAGCGAGGTGTGTGAAGTGGTTTTGCAAGGGTGCAGCGATACACGAGGCGGCAAACAAGGCGTTTGTCTTGCAGGTGTTCACAAGGGTGTTGGCACTGCGTGCACATCCAATCCCTGGAAGGGCACGCTCCCATGCATGGCGGAGCAGCGCTGCAATGCGGCAGCCCAGCAGACTGGGATACGACCGCAGCTCATTGCACAATATACGCTGTGATCAAAAATAAAGGATAAAAAAGTGGATAAAAAATTTACGAGGGCCAGGATGGTGCAAGAATTGTTGCGTGTAGCCCTGTACACTACTGTATCAAACTTATTCGTTCCGTGGTCCGGGCTTCCACACACCTGAAGTATCAAGGGCGCATGGCGGAAGCGGGTGTGGGGTTGAGGGTACTGGTGCTGGCACAAGCATGGTGTGTGGTGGTGACCCACAGGTGGGCTGGGACGCTGGCTGAGTAACCCAGGTTGGCACTTGTGGCCCCCTTCTGAATAGAAGACCATCTGCACGGCGCCCATCGATATCCCTGGCATCGAGGGAGGTCGGGCAACTGGTCAAAGTTGGACCTCCTTGCCCTTTGGAAGAGTGACTGAGCCATTGACAGGCATGAGCCAAGCGCACTACTCGCGCCAGGAGGACTCGCACCTTCTGGCCAGCGCTGGGAGACCACCACTTTATTCCCATGAGCGAGGTGTTGACCCCGCCAATCCTGCAACGACGGCATTCGTGCCTACATTCCTTGTGCCGCCACGCGGTTGCTTGCAGACACAGCTGCACAACCAGCTCGTGGCGTCACATCACCGAATGCACATGGGTCATTGGCGGGCGGACCAGGCTGTGGGCATGCCGACCCCGCTGCCGCCTGATCATGCCGTTCACATGTACCGTAGCATGCGAACAGAAGATGACAAACGCACTAGCATGATATGATATGTTATGATTGGCTGCATACTAGTGCTGTTCAGCACATTGGTTGATCATCGCGTTCGAGCCCGGGGACCCCGGAGATGTTCAATGAACAGCGAAACAGCGGGTCTAGGGATGCCCTGGAGAGCGGGCTGAAGCAAATCACCAGGTGCGCTGGTCTCCCGCTGCTGCACCGGCCACTGCTGCACGGCCCGCTGCTGCGCCGCTCTATAGACCGGGCGGGGCCGTCGACGGCCGCCCCACCACCGCGCGCATTGCATGAGAGGCCGCTTCTGCCGCCAATGCTGCTGTGCAGCTTTCTACGGGCGCCGCGGCTTCCAGGGAAAGCCAGACTCAACCGGAGGGAGGTGCCAGGCGCGGAGGGCGCCGGCGAGGCGACCAGCTCGCCGCAGCGTGAAGCGTCGCCGGTCCCAAGCAGCCGCAGCGAGCCGCCACCGGCCGCGGAGGCACTAGCGCACGATGGAGAGGTAGGTGCAGTCGATCGCACCTATTGCAGGGCATGATGGGTGTTGACATATTGTTGACTACTGCCCCTACTTTCAAGCCGGCTCTCTGCAGTGGTCGCCCGTGTCGCTGGCTGCTCATCCGTTTTGAGCACACTTTACACCAAAGTCGAGCTGATGCTCCCTCCGCATGCAGGGCCCGGGGCCATCCGCAGCAGCAGCCGGCAGCAGCCAGCAGAGCAGAACTGGCGTGCCGCCCGCCGCAGCCGGCGGCGGAGGGGGCCCGCCGGAGGCGGAGCAGCACCTGGCCTCGCTCCGGCTGCACGGCGGCGGAGAGCCGCCGGGCCCCTCCGCCGACGGCGGCGGGCCCGCCGGCAGCGGCGATGCGGGGCACAGCGGCAGCGGCTGCGGCGGCGGCGGCGGCGGCGCGACCACCAGCGGCGGCGGCGGCGGCGTGTCTCAGAGCCGCGCGTCCTCCGCGATCCGCGTGAAGAAGTTCCACCGGATCCTGTCAGACCAGGTGGTGGACCTGGACGCGCTGCGGGAGCTGGCCTGGAGCGGCATACCGGGGGAGCTGCGGCCGCTGTGCTGGCGGCTGTTGCTCGGCTACCTGCCGCCGAACAAGTAGGGCGACGGGCCGAGCGTCCGCGCGGCCCCCCCAAGGGGCGCCCGCGGCGGCGCGCGGGGCGGCGCAGCCGCCGCCTCTGACGTTTGCGCTTGCGGCTGCCGTCTGAATGGTTTTACGTGGGCAGGGCGCGGCGCGTCGGTCGGGGCAGCGCCGCAGGCGCCCTCTGTTTGCGGCAGCGGACGAGCCCCCCCACCCTCCCACCCCCGTTTTCGCACCGCCAGGTCACGGCAGGCGCAGGTGCTGCTGCGCAAGCGGCGCGAGTACGCGGACATGGTGCCCGAGTTCTACGACATTGAGGACAGCGAGAGGAGCGAGGACGAGATCGGGGCGCTGCGGCAGGTG